CTGGTCTGGGTGGTCTGGGCCATGAGAGCTCTTCCTCTGGGCTGTTGTTATTGCCTGAGGGGTAGTTTCAGTTTCCCTTTTGGGATGTCCTGCCTGTAGGGTCCTTTGCCTGAATTAAGAGATAAACTGGAAAGAAGAGCTTAAGGAAAAATGTGAGACAGGTGGGTGGGTACAAGCAAGAGAGCAGTAAGGTTAGGTCTCCGGGTTTAGTGACATCTGTGCCCCAGTGTCCCTATGTGTATTAGAAAGATGAAAACAATACAGATCTATCTCAAATTATTGTCATGGGGATTAAATAAGTTAGTACTGTAAAGCAGTTAGAATAGCACTGGACAGATGGTAAGTCCTCTAAATGTGAGCTCATATCACCATAAAGGATTTAACAGGGTTGTGATACTGTTTAATTAATTTTTATTGAAGTGTAGTTGATACATAATGTTACTTAGATGTACAACATAGTGTGATTCAGCAAGTTTATATGATGTGCTATACTCACCACAAGTATAGATCCCAGCTGTCCCCATACAATGCTATTATAGTACTATTGACATACTCTCTATGCTGTGCCTTTCATTCTTGTGACTCATTCATGTTGTCACTGAAGCCTGTACCTCCCACTCCCCTTCTCCCACTTTGCCCATCTCCCCACACTCTTCTCCTCTGGCCATCATCATCAGCTTGTTCTCTGTATTTATGGGTCTGCTTCAGTCTTTTGCTTGTTCGTTCATTTGTTTTATCTTTTAGATTCCACATATAAGTGAAAGCAGATGCTATTTATCTTTCCTGCCTGACTTATTTCATTTAGCCTACCCTCTAGTTCCGTCCATACTACTGAAAAGGCAAGATCTCATTCTTTTTTATGGCTGAGTAATATTCCATTGCATGTGTGTGCATGCGTGTGCGTGTGCATATACATTCACACCACATATTTATCCATTCATTGATCGATGGACATGGATGGCTTCCATATCTTGGCCATTGTAGATAAAGCTATAATAAGCAGAGGAGTGCATATGTCTTTTTGAATTAGTGTATTGGTTTGGGTAAAAAGCTAGTATTTACTGAACCATATGGTATTTCTATTTTTAATTTTTTTGAAATTACTGGATCATATGGTATTTCTATTTTACTGGATCATATGGTATTTCTATTTTTAATTTTTTGAGGAACACCATACTTTTTATCACAGTGGTTTCATCGGTCCCTAGTGACAGATGTTAGTGCCATTTCTAATTTTTTACATGCTTTGGCATCTTAAAGAAACTTCCAAGGCAAGTTATGAATTGCCCTTAACCTCTATTACATTCAAGCTCCTGTGTCTTTCTGAATTAGCAATACCCAACAACTGCTTACAAGCACTTAACAAATGTTACTGAGCTATTGACTCCTCTCAGAGGCAGTGCTGAATGGGTTCAGTGGAGTATGGTGACGTGGCTCCCAGGCTAGACCCAAGGGAGTCCACTGCGAGTTTTCTCTCTGCAGAGATGCCACTCCAGTAATGCAAATGCCACGCATAGACAGGGAAAGGAAGCAGGAAGAGCAACGTCTGAGATGTCAGTCAATGAGTCAAGTTGGGCACCTGGGCTGGAAAGAAGCCAGAGAAAGCGTATAAAAGCCAGAGACAAACCTGAAGACAAAGAACTCAAAAGGATGCCTTGGGAACCAAACATTTTAGCGTTCCTTCTGTGAGATGCTTCACTTTATATAGTTCTCATATACCTATAGCTAGAGAATGATGTTATTATCAATGCAAGTCAAGGACAGGCTGCCCCAAGATAGGCCATTTGACGTGAAGATGATTTTGAGTTAAAAAGTGACCAAAACCCCACAGATTCAGGAAAAGCTCTTTACCTTCCTCCACTACTGCCTAAAAGAATTTAGACAGAGGAGCTGCTCCAGGAAGAGAGCTATCATGATAGATCACTACATTACAATATAAACTAGGGATGGCAGAGAGGGAGGAACCTGAGAGGTCCTATTTGTTCAAAGTCTTCTCCTTGTCCCACTGTCTCTGAGTGGCCTAGCAAGCGTTGATTTACCAAACATTTACTCTTTTTTTTATTCTTCCTGAAAATTGCATCCCTTCTCTTTGAAGACCCAGAGCCTTGCCCTCTTCACCTTAGTTCAGAATGACATGTATATCTCATTTTGCCTGATTGTCTTTGGAATTTCCTTATGGGGCCTTCCTGTACATATGCTAGTATTAAATTTGATTTTCTCCTGTTAATTTGTCTCATGTCAATTTGAGTCTTACTGTGGCTAGAAGGACCTTGAAGAGTACAGGAGTTCTTCCTTCCTCATAATATTAATTCCAAAACTGCAAGGCTCTTCTCACTCATGCTCACACAGGAACTCAGCTCCCTCCTCCCAGTCTCCCTGGACCATATCTGGGAGTCAGGGGAAAGGGGTTCTCGGAGGCGCAAGGACAAATGTACTCACGCCCAGGTGCCTCACCAGTGACAGCCTCTGGTGCTGGAGACATCCTAGAGAGCCTGATTGGCTGTTTGCTCCTCCCCCACCAGCCACCCCAGGGTGAGTGTGCTTTGCTGTGTTCTTTGGGTCAAAAGGAAGAATGAATCTCCTGAAGTCCTTAGAGAATTAATTCTTTATTTCTCTCCATAAACTCAGTCTCTGCCGGAGTTCCAAACATGTCCCCTGAGGCCGAACTGGGGCAAGGGAGAGGATGGCCAGTAGCAGCCATGCCCTCCGTCGTCTTTTCTGCCTTATCTTTTTAATCGTTCAAGAACGAATATTGACTGACCACTGTAGTGAATTTAATGTAAAACTAATCCCGATTCCCTGCCTTCTCTGTATCAGGGGTGAAATCTCCCCCACCTCCATGAATCTGGGCTGGTCTGTGAAAGGCTTTGGTCAGCCGAATGTTGCTGAAGTGATGATGTGTCAGTTCCAAGCCTGCACCTCAAGAGGCCTTGGGTGCTTCTACTCACTGTCATCTCCTCCCCAGACCCCTTGAACAGCTCTGGTTTGACTACTGGCTGAAGAAAAATCGCCTCAGCCTGCAGCCAGCCATCCGCCCAGCAGAACCCCGAAGAGCCGTGCTGGCAAGCCCAGCCAAGATCAACAGTGTGTGTAGATGACCTGCTTTCACATGAGGGATCCTGGGGAGACCCAAAGTACCACCCAGCTAAACCACACACCTGTGAACCAAGGAAGGTCTGTGCCATTTGAAGCCACTGGGTGTTGTTTGTTACACAGCATCACTGAAAATGGATAACTGATACAACCCTCTTTCTGATCTCCAGAACCAATTTTTTTTTTTTCCTTCAGATTCAAACACCTCTCTGAAAAGCTCAACAAATAGCCAAAGTCTAGTTTTTAGGCCAGATTCAGTCCGGATACCTGCTGCCCTCACAGCAGTCTGTGAGGAGGATACTGCAGCCACAAGAAGGTATTTTAGTTTAGCAGATGTCAGAAGCCTAAAGGAAAACTAGTCAGCCTGCTGGGAGAGACACACGTGAGAACGATGGGGGCAGCAACACCCTACCAATCTTCAATAGGGCCACGAAGATCCCAGTAAGTGTGGTGTGATGGCATTTCTTGTGCAAACCAGCAAGGGAGGTCGATCTTCCCATTTTGAACAGAGCTGGAGCTGAAATGAGACCAAGAGCCTGGGAAATCAGAAGGAAGGCCCTGAGCTGCCCCAGGCCCTCAAACCAAGGCTCCAGCCAAGTTGATCTACAATCTCTGGTGGCTGGGAAGCTGCCCAGTGGGTATCCGAATGACAAATTAACTTCAGTTTTTAACCTGTCTCTGCATGTCTTTCAGAATGCCGAGTGGCCTGATCTGATTCTCACCCCTACTTGCTACTGCTCCATGTTGGAACCTCCAGTGGTAAACGTCCTTGGGAGAAGCTAAGAGGAGAGCACTGTGTGAATGATGATTCCCTGACTATGGAGCACTCTTCTCCATCTGATTGCAAGACAGCATCTCTTCCCCCCTGACCGCTTCCTCTTCATTCCTTATTTCTAGGGACTTTGAAGGAGCCTGCATACCTAGGGTAGATGAATAGAGTTTGCGCCTACCCCCGGGCAGCTCTGAAATGTGCCACTGGCTTCTCCTGACAGAGCTCCTCTCAGACTGGGGGCCTGCCAGTCATACCAAAGGTGTCCGCAGCCCAGCAAATGGCCGCCGAAAGGCAACAAGCCTTTAGCTGGAAATCTATGGATTGACGACTGGGTGCAGAGAAAACAATGAATGATAAGTTGCTGATAGTGGATTTCTAGTTTACTGTTTACTCTTTTGAGTAATAATAAACAAGAAAGTGAGGGTGAACATAGGAAAACCCTCCTTAACTTCATAGTTTGGCCTCTTGGAGGGAGAATGATGGTTCTGAGAATGAGTTCTGAGAATGAGGGTTGAGTTGAGTTAGGCCCTGTGAGGTGGTTAATGTGTGTCACGCTCCCCATAGACTTTTCTAGACATTTTCCTACCATAGTCATAGTTCTGTGAATGTGGTCCTAATTGTTTGGTACCTGGCCCTGGGGTGATTTGGTTGGCGGGGGGGAGGGGGGATAGTGACTCCGTGTGTGTGTGTGTGTGTGTGTGTGTGTGTGTGTGTGTGTGTGTGTTAGATAAAGAAGGGTGTTGGGGGCATCAGAGCTCAGGATTGGTCAGTTTGCATATCAAAGTCACTCTCACAGGCAAGTTGTTTGTTATCTCCAGGAATTAGCTAATCCCAGGAGGGGCCCTCCGTCCTTAGGTCTGAAAGGCCCCAACATGCCAAAACGTCATGAAATAAAGAAAATGTTAAAATGTGATAAATACAGTAGGCCAGGAGACTGGGCGTCCTCAGCATATACCCTGAACACCCGAATTATTGGGACACTTGACGGCTTCTGGGCCTCCTCGCAAAGTCAGGCAGTTTAGGACTTGTATTCTGCCCTCTAAGTGTTTACAGAAGTCATTCTCAACATGTCAGCCCAGCTCTCTGACCCAGAGCAGTTCTTTGCTTTTTCAGGAAACAAACGGGATGAAAGTGCTGGGGCCGGACTTCCTCCTCAGGGTGTTTGACAGGGACTGACGCACTCTAGGCCCTTTGACTGCGGGAAGTCCAGGACACACCCAGCCTTGATTGTACTTTCTTGAACGCTGAACGCCGGAGCGTAGGTAAAAGGACAGAAGGAAAAACATTCCAACATGAGGGACCCGCTAACAGATTGCTCGGTGAGTAGCTCCGTGTGGTTTTGCGCCTGTGGGTGAGAAGGCAGCCTTAGAGGGCTCAGTTTATATATTAATGGGTCTAAACTTAAGGAATTTGAGACATTCTGAGGACAAACGTGTTTAGACATTGGCCGTGATACAAAAGTCTTGTGGCTTTTCTTTGGTTCGATTGCAAACAACCCTTTCTAGCAAATGACAGGGCAGGTTAATAATTGTCATCTTTTATTTTCATGTGGTTGGAACAACTTTGAGTGGGTATAGCATCATATTTGCTTGCAGATGTGGCTGTTTGGAAAACATTCTGAAGACAGATGCCCAAGGGGCCAACATGGTGTGGAGAGCGGCTACCCAGACGCTCAGAACCTGCAGGCAGCTTAGGGCTCTATGAATGAAGTTGGGGTGGGAGATTTTGGCATATTTCTCCAAATCCTGTAGAGTCCAGAACTGTAAGGCCTGCAAGTGGAAGGACAGGCGCCCCCACCCTGCCCGGCCTCCAGTGGTTCTCAGACTGGTCTCCCAACATGTGTGTTTAGTTCTGGGAGTGTTATCAAAAACAGAAGATGGGTCAAGAGTCCGAAGATGGTGTGAGGTTGTCAACAGAAATAGCAGAGATGAAATTTAGGAAATAAGGAGCAATTAAAATAAGGCACGTGGCCAGGGGTGGGTGGGGGGGTGCTCCTATACTGTGGATGTAAAATAATCTAGAATCATCAGGGTGTCAGCTCAGTAAAGGGTAGCAAAAACCAAGATCTGTAACATCAGAAGCAAGGAGTTGCATTCATCCCTCAAGTATTTTATTAAAAAAACAAAAACAAAAAAACAAAAAAAAAACAAAAAAACCTCCCTAACAATAACAAACTGTAGAAAAGCAGATAAATGAGGGCTGCAGGAAAGCCATAAAGAAGAGCGGCAGGGGATTACTGGTTACATTTTTTTTTTTTTTCAGAATTTATTTATTTGACAGAGAGTGAGAGAAGGAGAGAGAGCACAAGTTGGGGGAGCAGCAGAGGGAGAGGGGGAAGCAGGCTCCCTGCTGAGCAGGGAGCCCAATGTGGGACTCGATCCCAGGATTCTGAGATCATGACCCAAGCCGAAGGCAGAGGCTTAACCCACTGAGCCACCCAGGTGCCCCTACTGGTTACATTTTTGTTTCCACAATGGACAAGCACAGGTTTAAAGAAGGTGGAGCTGTCAAGGCGAGCCCACAAAATGAGTTCATGAATCAGATGGGCTAGATGAGATGAAGAGCATTGGCTGGTACTATTAATAATGACCGTGTAATAGCAAGTTCTGTCCACTTTCATTTTTTAAATGCAAAAGTAAATATGTGTCTAACGTAAAAACGAATTCCAACAGTATAGTTGTATGCAGATTCTAAGATGGAAAATTCTCCCCCTCCGTTTCCTCCTTCCCAATCTTTTCTTCATTGGTAAGCACAGACAATTAAAAAAAAAAAAGAAGTCTTTTATTGTTCATGTATTTGCTCTTTATTTTTCTCTCTCTGCATTTGCCCCCTTACCAAATGTTACCTCCTCTCCTTTCTTCCCACCGATACCCTGATGATGTTTTTGCATGGGGGTGGTTGAGCAAGGCAGGGATGGGGTAAGTGGAGGCAAAAACTTGACAGCAACAGTCACCAAAGAAGAAAGTCAGGACCACATGAAGAGTGAGATAGAAGAGAGAGAAACTAGGACCAAGCTAAGTTAAGGGAACAACACAAACACAAACTAGTAGGCTGTTGTTTTTTTCAAAGGCTGCCTTCAGATCAGGATCTGGGAGATATGTTTCCTTCTGAGCAGCCCCCCAAGAGAACCTGTCACCACATGTGTGGGTCAGCTTCATGCTCCCTCTTTAACATTCTTAAGGGTTCTTTTCCCTCAGCCAAGCCGTCTCCCCAGGGACTCCCATCTTTATCCACAACCTGAAGTTTTCTCTCTGGGCCCGGTGCCATCAAAGGTAGTCTGGGAGTCAAGAGGAGGCCGATACCCATCCATTCTGCCAGAGTTCCCAAATCCTCTAAGGTCATGGAATCTTTATTTAAATTTGCAACTGTTTCATTTTCAAGGGTTCACATTGATTTCCTGGTGCAGTTCTAGCTTGTGCTTGGGGAATAATGTTGTACGAAGATAAAGCTTCAGTTTGGCAGCAGAATAAAACAAAGGAATGGACTGCTAATGAAGGCTTCATGAAACACAGGAGTGGTTTCGTAAGGAAACCAAACAGAACCCAAAGATTTAACCCACCTGCAGAATGTTCCATTCCATCCCTATGGCTGGCATGGAACACATTTAATTCATAAGGCCTTAGCTTAACGATAGTTTTAAGCTAGTCTGCCCCAGGGGTTCATGTATGAAAATCAGTGGTTACTTGAAATTCAATGGGAAAAACATGGCCTCTTTATTTCTACTAATCTAACTGAAATTTTAGAATTTACTTCAGATGTACCTGGATGGCTCAGTCGGTTAAGCATCTGCCTTTGGCTCAGATCATTGTCGCAGGGTCCTGGGATGGAGCCCTGAGCTGGGTGTCAGGCTCCCTGCTCAGCAGTCCCCCTCGTGCCCCCACCTCATGCCTCCCCATGTCCCCCCCATGCCCTCCCTCATGCTCATGCACCCTCTCTCTCTCTTTCAAATAAAAAGAAAAAGTCTTTAGAATTTACTTCAACTTTGCATATAAGCAACAGACTTTGGTACTACCACAAGGTCTGTGATTTGTAACCAAATAAATCACAGATATTTTTATATAATATCACAGGGGTTGCAGTTATCTAGAAATCTTGTATATATTCCGTGTGATTTAGAAATTTAAATTATTCTGAAGACTTGTTATTTAGTATGTTAATTGAAGAGCACATGTAATTTTTAAATATGTTTTAATAAATGTATATCAATATAATGTTTCTTTTGTAACCCTATGCCATTTTCTTGAATGCATTTTAAAAATATTCTGAGTAAAGTATAGATTTCACAGCACACCCAAAAGAACCATAATACCAAAAAATATTTTAAAATCTCTTACTAAGGTCATGCTCCAGTGACCAAGATAGGCTAATAGCTGTCAGTGTCTATGCTCAAATTATTAGTTACCAGGGTAGCACAAAGATGGCCTAAATGTTGTGTGGGCTTTTAACTAATCTTAAGCGTGTCAGAACTTATTTGAGGAAGATTTTGAAGTTGTTTCCACAAAGGCACAGAATTGTCTCTGGGCCTTAATGTCTTGATGCCTCTGAGTTTAGCTTCTATACCTACAAAGAAAGGAAGGAAGAGAGAAAAGGAAAAAAGAAGCTCAGTGAAATTTTCAAATCCAGGTGCAAGGCAGTAGACAGGAATCGAACTATCTCCAAATGAAGTGATCCGACCATTTTTCTTCAAAATCAGCCCTTCCTGTGAAATAAAACCATGGAAATCGTGGGCAAATAATGGGCTGTAACCAAGTTTAGGCTTTTACTCCCTCTGCAGTGTCCAGGTAGGAACCTGTCAAAGCAGGCATTTTGGGCTCCACATAGTCTGTTCCTTCCCTTAACACCATCAGCTGCTGAAGCAGCCCCAGCCAGGCGGTGGGATACCTCCTCTAGCCGCCTCTAACCACCTGCCAGTCTGGGCAGCTCAGCCTGGGTCATGGGATGTTCACTTGCGCTAAGACAGAAGATAACCGTTACAATGGTCCATGACTTCTGAGGGATTCTGGTGCTTTGCACAGATAAGGAGGCAGGTCGGGTCTGACCACATAGATGTCCTGTGGCCCACAGCATCCCTGAGATAGGTGATATGTCCCCCATGTCTCACAGGCCTGTTTCCTCCTCTGGAAAGGAAGAAGAGGAGATATGGAGTAAACGATGCTTTTTAGTGTTCTGTATCTCATAACTTATGATGGTCTGCCATGGGGATTCCAGATCTCACCTAGACAGTCCCTTGGTTAGAGGAGCAGTGGTTTGAAATATTATCCCCCGTGAATCAGGATTCACATGAAATCAGTACCACCATGCCTGTCACAGGAAAGACATCAAAGAAAAGCTTATTTGATTAAATATAAATGGAATATCACAGTTTATCTGATACTCTGAGGGTATCACTGTCCAAAAACTTTCCATACTGCCATCTAGAATAGAAATGGGCTTTTCTAGAAGAACAGAATTTAACCTTCATCATTCAGATTGTGGAAAATCAGAAAGAACAGCTAGTCTGGGGTTGATACATTCTGTATTGTTTAGAAGTTATCTGATTATTCCATGTGCCCATGACTTTGCTCCATTTTTGGTGATGACAATGTTTATACAACAGAATTTGCTTACAAAAGCTGGGCAGAAATATCTTTTTAGACTGAATGGGAAATGCCTGTGTATACCAGTTTTCTTGGTGAAGGGGTTTTTTTATGAGCTCAGAAATGTCCCAGATATTCCATCACTAGCCTGAACTTACTTTATCAGGGAAAAAATACATAACCTTTTTCCTAGTAATTAATGAGCCCAACGAGAGACAGCACATTAGTAAAAATTCCTATGGAGATGTAAGATCAACAGTAGGTTCTTTTCCTGGAATGAGTATTTGGTAAGGGTGGGGTATTTGAAAATTCAGTGGGTGGGGAAAGAACACCAAAAATCCGCCTTCCATATGATTTTGACTAGAGAAAACATTCTTGTGTAGTTGATAACATTAGGAAGCCATTTGTCTGATCATAACACTTAAAGGTAACTATTACTCTGAATGAACCTAGTGCAATTATACTGATTAGCTATTTATAAATATATTTATTTCTGGTAGTTTCTCTAATTGATTGGCTCACTTAATATTTCTAATCACGGCTCTGCCCTTAACTAATGAAGTTAGTTTCAGCTCTTTGGTGCTTAACTATAAAATAAAGGGATTAGACGTTAGTGATTTTCAAGCTGTGCTCCATGGAATCCCTCCAGTGGCCTCTGGTGGATGAAGTAGGATGGGAAGGAGAGGTGAGATCCAAAGGGATCCAAAGGTGACATCGATCCAAAGCCAAGGTCAAGAGATTTC